CCCCCCCCAACCCCGGGTTGGTGAGACGTCATACTTTTCATTTTTATAATAATATTATGTTCCTTGCACGCAAGCTGTCGGGAGAGGTGAGAGGCACACACACGCACACAGTCAAGGTAAGCCAGGGATCTACAGGAAGAGATTAACTGACAACACTAACGGTGTTATCTTCTCTCCACAGAATTTAATATTCCCCATCCGAGACCAAGCCAGCGTTTGGAAACACGTTCAGGAAATCGAAACCTACAAAAACTGCTTCCGGAAATGTCACGGTCTATTTTCTCTCAACTTCCTTGACAAATGTTGGTGAGGAGAGAAGTTTGGCGTGCTTTTCTTCTGTTGTCCTGGTTCGGAAAGGGAGGGACGTAAAGATATTAAGACTGTAATTATTGCAGGGCAGTTTTATCATTCTGCTTTTAAGGTAGTGTTCTTGTTTTGCTTTCGTTTGTTTTGTTTTGTTTTTCTGAGGTAGATCTAGTATTTTTTATGTAGCGCCCAATTGGCCAGTAAGTCTTTGATGGTACTTAAGATTAACTCCGTGATGAAATAAGTAGGTCTGTGTTCTGCTTCGCGTGCAGCTCGTGTGAGACTCGTGACAGGCGAAGGGGCTCATTTGTCAACCAGGACTCTATACCGGGAAACGAGAGCTCTTTATTTCGTCTGGAGACCTTACCTGGAATTATGCTCAGTGTCTCGACCCCGGCCGTGGCGCAGACGCCTGACGTCATAACGTGTACCGGCCAATCCCCTCGACTATGTCGCCCGCACATCCAATCAGATCGCTCGGAAAACAAAGGGAGGTCACTCAGTCCTTCGTCAAGGGGGATAAAGCAAAACGATATCATCACATCGCCTTTTACAAAGGCTGACATCAACAAGCAGGATGCTTTTTCAGGGGATATTCTCGATTGCAGTGATGGTATAAACAAATTGCGCAAACCCGCTCAGAATTGTGCCAGTAAAGCATTTACGGTTCCAAGCATTCGAGTAGAGGCACTCTGCGACCACAATACGACTTCTTATGCTTCACCGTTTTCAAAACAGGATATTATGCCCTTTTCCGGGAACGAAACATTGTTTTCACGATTGGAGATGCACGACTCTGACATGCCCGCGAAAGTCATGGGAGGAATTCTAGACTGTTCTCCTCCTCGCGCGACTGCCGAATGCCCTCGAACGGCGGACGTTCCCGTCTCTCTGCCCTGTCGCTACCGACTGGACAATACAGGACAAAACGGAGTTCCGCACGAGACAGCAGCGCAAACGGTCAACAGCGATGACCTTGACACTCGGGAGAGAGACTTGGGGGAAGCGCTCAAGTGGATTCGGCAGGAAATCGTAAGTGAACTTGGGGAGCATTTATTTGATCATCATCTTCTTTTTCTTTTTCTTGTTCTTGTTGTTCTTGTTCTTGTCTTTGTTGTTGTTCTCCTTCTTTTTTTCTTCTTCTTCTTCTTCTTCTTCTTCTTCTTCTTCTTCTTCTTCTTCTTCTT